TGTGATACAAGCTTATAAAAGGTAACGCGCGCATTTGTTGAATACGATTATAATTGAAGAAATTATTTATATCTTATTTAAATTTATATTTTTAAAAAAGATGAACATTATGCGGAGTTACAAAGCTGCGGAAAGATTATTATATCAAGCCTATAAAAACTTTTTCATACTCTTTCGGGTATTTGGAAAGCGGCTTAAAAATAATCTCTTGAATTCTTTCACAAACACTGAAACGATCTCTTGAATCAACAACATCAGTTATAGTTACAGAGATGAAGAGACTGTCTCGCAATAGGCTGCAATAAACTCAAATCATGATATCATATTTCAAAAAATGGTAAACCTTCACTCTTTTTGCGCGGCAAATTAAAGCAGATCTCGCAGTAAATGTTACATTATTCTACCTGAGTAATTTATAATAAATAACTAAAAGTGTGAGCGCGCGCCCGAAGATCGCAAATATTATACTTCTTATTGTTAGTCGTGCATCTTCCTATAAGTATGCGTAAGACTACCGTGCAGCCTTGGCATAAGATATCAGTTTCTCACAGGTGTTTTCGAAAACTCCTTTCTCGGCAAACTAGACTCACGGTATGTCCCAAAGTTCGTTCGCGAGATAGCGCGTTCGCTATTACAAGAGAGTGTTTAACAGTATTCGTCTCGTTCTCGCGCTCGGTTATAAATTGCTTTCTCTCTCTCTCTCTCGCGCGCGCTTTTCTCTTTTGTATTGATCGCAACCGCATCGCGCAAACATGTTTCAGTTCGCACGCACTGATTGCTCGAAAGAATGCAATCTTTCTGAAGAACATCAATTTGATTGCAAGCTATCAAAACTGATTTAAATAATTGAAAGATATTTTTTGATTTATTTCATTTTTCGGTTTCATCGAACGAACAAGTTTGATAGATTCTAGAATTAACATTATGTTAATTGATATCTAGTAGCAGAAGAAATGCTGCACATGAGTAGATAATTAAGTTTAAAAAGCATAAAATATAAAAATAGGCTTATAATTGAATGCTTGTGCACAAATTAATTTATGTAAATATATGTACATGTTTTGATACTAAAATCTAATGCGCGTGTGTGTATGTGTGTGATTAAAGAATAATTATAAAATGCTATATACATATAAATAACAAGAAAAATAAAATAAAGAAAATATTTTGCAGAAGCTTGTGAAAATTTCGTGATGAAAAATGTTAATATAGATGTCACACAATCCTCAGAACTGCAATTAAATTACATATATCGCACTAATACGATATAATACTTACAAACAATTTAATCTCGCGTTTTTTATAAGAGTACAATTTAATTTAACAAAAAATTCCAGAATACTGTCAACTGATGAAAATGGTAAATTTCAATGTAATAATTCAGATTTAAGAAAAGAGAATGATTGAAGATTTGAAAATTTGAAACAATATTATTGTGGATTTCTCATGTTATAATCATTCATCTTGTTGAATTAGCTCTTTGTTGCAAGCTCCGTCTGACAAGCTCGTGTGGCAGCTGGAGCCTTGCAAGCATAATCGAAACTATGCTTCTTCTAAGTTAGATGTTTTTAGAACGTTAAGAATGCTTCTATAACTACAAAGTTATTAATCATCTCTACCAACGATTCTATCTCGAAACTAAATAATGCACAACGAAATTTCGTTCCATATCCTACAAAAGCCTGTTTTTACAGTTATTGTAATTGTAATTATAAATGATTACAATTAATTAGAAATTTATAATATGTATCGCATAATATATTATTTCAATCTCTAGAAATAATGTACTTAAATTTTTTAAATAATTTGTAAGGTATTTGATGAGCATTGATTAATTGAAAACGGTGCAAAGAAAATTGCAAGTTGAGTCCATGAATAAAATAAATGCGATTATGAGGAAACGCATTTGAGAATAATTTTTCGTGAAGATTTTTGAAAATATTTCAAACTTTTAGCAGATGATTTTCCTTCCATCTTTCCTCCAAAGCTTGATAAATATATCGTAACATTAATTATGTCCCTAAATCGCGACAAAGAAATATGACTATTACATGTAAATTTTCATATCTTTATAAGTGTGTTAAAAACACGATCGGACGAGCGAAATTCGCGATTAAAGTCTATGAGAGCAGCAGAGTGTCCTTGTCTATATTGCGCGGAAAGGAGAATTCGATTCGCGTGAGCAAACAGACGTGTACACGCAAAGTACCAGGCGTTATGCAACTGCATCATTATTTCAATATGAACGAGTATGTACGAGAGACGCCAACAAAAAGAAATGGCGCGCTCAAATTTATCGGCGAGGCGCATAAACGACAGTTGCAGTGCGCGGGCTTTTATTCGCCCTCAATGGGCGAAAAGTGTCCTTATCAAACGCGTGTCAACAGCATGTTCCACGCGAAATCCATCCGCGTGTGCTGCGCATCGACTGTTTGCGTGAATCCAAACTTCGTCCTGACGATTCATATACAGTTGGTAAAAATCCGTATAGTTGCAACGTGAATTGTTGGCTATATTAGTTGCACGTCAACAGACAATTTGCTATGAATTTTATGAACATTTTTTTTCACGCAAATATGGTTATCCGTTCTTTGTACGGGCGCGGTTACGCGAAAAAAGCGCGGAGTGGGAAAGTGCACACTTTTGTACTGAAACAGTAACTTTCCAATTGTATTCTCCCCACGATCTCATTCCTTTCATTTTCGCTGGAAATAAACGGGATTGACGGACAAATGTGAACGCTGCTCTACGCATATTGCAACTCAACGTGAACCAAAAACAATTCGTAAACTGTAATGAGATTGGCTACCACCGTTCACCACATTGCACTGCACATGTACATATGAGCGGCAATGTGTTCCTACATAAAAGCTCTCGTAGAAGCTCACCGCGACGAAACACTATTAGCCTGATTGGAAGTACCGGCTGAAAATATTTCGCAAGCGTGTCGCGCGTGATGATCAAACAAACCCCTTCGTTAACAACGTGTTATGGTCGCAGGAAAAACCGTTAAACGGAAACAGAAAATATACTCGAGGCTGCAGAAATTAAATCTCATTCTACAGTTAAGCGCGACAGTACAAATTTATCAAGTGGATTATCATAGATGCTGAATATTTCATGCGAAGGACGTTCGCTATGTGTGACGCGATTCATTTTCCGTGTTTCAAATTAACTGTTGTTTTTTTCATTATGGAATATTCAATCGAATCGAATTGTTATATTCATGGCATATCATATAATAACATGTCAAATTATATTACATATAATATTATATAATTATCTTTAAAATTATTTTATAATTTCTTTAAATATATATTATTATTTTTGATTTTAAAGGATTTGGTTTAGACGGTTAAGTAGCGACAAAATTAAATATATAATCATTCTATTTATAATTTTATATGTACATGTATTATATATATGTATATAATACAGAAAACACACACCACTGAAGAAGTAAAATATATGCAAGATAATTATAAAATTATTGTTCAAATCAATTTTGTTTCATTTCAGTTAAATTTCAATTTCCAATTCCAAAATAAATTTGATATTTTATCTGACAATAATATATGAATTTCAAGTATTTTCAATAGCCTTTTATAAACGCACGAAAATAGTGAATTTAAAATATTGACATTTATTTCATCATTATATTTTGTCAGATAAAAATTATATTTAGATAGAACACAAATGTCAAAGTAGTATCTACTGAAAATTGAAGGTGCGATAAAAAAAAAAATTTACATTGCTCGGTATATATACTATATATTTTTTTTTATTTGAAGTAATAATTAAACCCTCAAAAATTATGACTGCCTTCGAAATTCTATTTTTTAAAAAAATCCTAGAGAAACGTGTGAAAATTAAAAATTCGAAAAAAGAACAAGAAGGAGAGATGACGATACGGAGAATGGCGTAAGAGAACGTACTTTATAACTGCATAGTGGTGCAACGGGCGACTTGAACGAGACGTAACGCGTGTTACGGAAATCGATACTCGCAACCAAGAAAATCTTACTCGAGTGTGGATATATGTATATATATATATATATATATATATATATATCTGTTCTGTACGCCCTATAAAAATTTGACGAAACTTCGATCCGGTGCATCGCTCGGACGCATAATGAAATTTTCTTCAATTCAACGCCGCTTTTGTAACGATATCTCTATCTCTCTCGGAGATGAAAATAAATCTCCTGTTTAATGCAACCGTCGCCGGGTCGTTGTCCTCAGGAGATCGACGGAGAATTTTCCGCGGGAGAGAAGAACGACAAGGAACAAACGTTTCCCCTGCTCGTCTGTGGAGGGAAGAAAAAAAAGCTATACGACATGTTACGGAAAAAAAGTGCAACGAGGTCAACTGATGCCGAGCTTCTTCTTTGGGCACTCGACGGCTTTTCCTCGCGTGTCCCTCTCAAATGTCCGCAGAAAAAAAGCTCAACAAGAGAAACGAGGATAAGCGTACTCGCGACGGTGAGGAAAAAAAAGAAAAAGAGGCGGTTTAATTTCTTCTATCTTGCTTTCTATTCGAGCTGAAATTGCGATAGTAAACATAACAAATTACCAAGACTCGTATTTTTGCCTTTTACGAGTGACATATACACATTTAAACGTTAAGTATTGCAATGAAAACAGCGGCGCGGTTATATTATGCATAAAGATGCAATTCTCTTTAAGCTGCACGAGCTGCAGTTATTCCTTAATGTTAGCGGGAGAATTTTTATTAATTAGTGTTATCAGTTAAAAACGCAATTGTGTGAGACTGAAGATCGCGAGACCATAGCGAGGCAAACTCTTTTTGTTCGAGAAATAAAATCGATAGTAGATCTAAAGAGTGCGGCCTCACAGAGTTATCCGGTATCAAAGTGATTTCAGAAGAATTTTCCTCTCCGTATAATTAAGATCCGGTTCGATTGGCTACGCGAGACAAGAACAAAGAGCTGGAGCGGAACATTTATGAGATGATCAATCATCGAGATATCTCTTACCTGGCGACTCCGGTGTTCCTCCCACACCTGTCGTTCACGGAATCCAGTCTCGCCCATTCTCCAGAAGCGCGCCAGGGATCCGCAAGAGAAGAAATTGACGTTCTTGCAATTCCGCCGAATGCGCAATAATGTCTTAGAGCTTCCATCTGGCGTGATTCTCCGAGCGATCGCGGTCAAAATGATTCTCGCGTGTTTTCTCACCGGAATTTGCAATGCACTTCATTTTGAAAATCCGCAGGCACTTTCCGCGCGCGACTCGTTTGCTCCTCGGTATCTTCCCATTTTCACTTAATTAGTTCCCGTTTTACCGAGGGCAAGCTCGTTGTTCCGTATTGCAGGAATAAATAAAATTGTTTATTCGACGGCAGCTCCATCCCTTGTCATTTTATCAACAGATATTTTTTTTTTTTTACTCTCGCTCACTCTTGTTGTTCCTCTTCTTTCAGAAAAGTTCGCTCGCACGTTTTTTCTTTTCCAATAAAAATGTTCATCGCGCGCCGCGTCGAGAGAGATCGCCCTTTTTTAAGGTCTCTTTCTTCAAGGAGAACGATAACTTCTGGAAAATTTACGTGAAATAATACTCGTGTATGTCGAGCGATTATGTCGTAAAAAATCTTTTATGGTTTTCAATTTTCATTCCCTTATTATGTCACTGTAATATAATTCGAAACTATATATTGCGCAATTATTTAGATTTTTTTAATGTAATTTTATGTAGCTATTTAAGGCTACCACGCATACACACAATCATTAATAAGTTTACATTTTTTACATGCTATTAATACAATATGTCTATAAATACATTTGTTGGCAAAAAAATAGATGCAAGAGTCTAGTTTTATTACATCAGATTTTCAGTATTATATAAATCTATCAAAGGATTTATTATTGTTAATAATGTACGTTATATTTTTTTTCACATAGTGTTTTATATAAATACTTTATGGCAAAAAATCCATCAACTAGCATTATGTAAATTTTTCATGTTTTTCGTATCAATTTACGGTCGAAAATACTTGAATCATCTTGTTTTTAGCATTTTTGCCTTTTCCTTTGTTCCGTTTACGTCGAAACTTTTGCGTTTTTATATATACGTATGATAGAATCGAAAATTATACGTGAAATAAGTTCTCTCTTCATTGTGAAAGACAGAAAAACAAAAAGCTAGTCTTTATTGGTCCACCGAGACACACTGGTCGTTTCAACAAGATATCACGAGAAGCCATTTAAGCAGCGCAGATTTAACTTCGTTCTTGTTTCTCAAATCTCGAACCCACGTCTTTCCCTTATTCGACCATCTTTCTAGCACATAAATCTTTTGATGTGTATAAGCATTCTAAATAGACCATTTCATAATAACGTTTCTAACAACCAAATTGTTAGAAGCAAATCTGCGAAAATAATTGCGAATTCTACTTAAATAAACAATTGTAAATAGATCGATGTAAGCTTACTTGAAAAATAAATGTCATAATTATTTTTCGAAATATTGCGAAATACTGCGCTGTTATATATATATATATATATATATATATTGATTTGAGATATAAACCACAGCATACCTAATTGATTAGAAGTTTCTCGGTTTTGTTGGTTTTTTTGATGAAAAAGCTATTCATATTCGAATAATAGCGAACCCTAGGGATTTATAGGTCGCAATGGCATTCGCGGTGCAACGAACCTCATGAGAAATTCAGAGTTTGCAGCGGATGTGACGATGCCACTGAACAACGTAACGATGTCGTGAACATCGTAACGTTTTCAGTGTGCTGTCAGTTTGTAATTTATCCCGATATCCGCCATATCGTTTCATCAGACACCTACGGCTCTCTACTGTTTCCCGATAACAAATATCGACCTACGACAAGGAAACGGCTCTGCGACCTAAGAAGAAGCTCCTACGTTACGGTGGCACTTTCATGTGTCTTACCTTTTCGAAAAACTTACGATCTTTTAAAGTCGCCATAAAAATATTTCTTTGATCTCATTTTCTCCGAAATACGTAGGATTGTAAGAACCATTTTTATTTCTCGCGATGCTCCGCGAGAAACTTGTGTACCTTCAATCTGAGAAACGATCATTTTCTTCGAAGAAACGACAGAATTTTTCTGATATCTCGATGAACAAACCTCGCGCGTGATCGACATTTTCGCGACAAAAATTACACGACACAATGACGAACTTTGTGGGACGTCGTTGGTATGTCTCCACTTTTCTATCTCTCATCGAAAAACATCGAGCAATTTTTATTTTCGTACGCCAAAATTGCCACAAAGCAGTCGAACCGGTTTAGCCAATGGCTCGAGATAGCCGTAAGAAAGAACGCATTTCGAATTCGGCAGTAATAAAATGTATCACTGCAACGTGATCGGAAACGATAATTCACCAAAATATGGTTCTTTAATTAATTTCGGAAATTATCCAATTGTGAATTTATTTCTTAGAATTTTTCATTTATCCGCATTGACCATTGTTATCTGAAGAAACAATGAATAACATATATAGTTTAAAGTCTATTTTCTTTAGTATTTTGCATTTTCGCTAGTAATTAATTAAACAATTACAGTAAAAACTAATTTTTACCTTAATTTAGTTTAATTTCGATAATTTCTAATAATAAATTCTTATCGCATAAAATTAATATATTGTATAAAAGTGATATCTTTAAGAAAAAAATTTTATCAAGCAAAATTGTCTAGCTACTTCGCTGCTGTATTTAACTCACTTATTGAAGTGCGCTCGTCTGCTCGTTACTGACTCGGACTTTCATTTAAGGAACAAGTAAACGGACGAGAGATGAGAAATAAAATTATTATTCATAATGTGTCTAAGAGAGTCGCGCGTAGGAATTAACTTGCACAATTATAAAATATGTGTGTCTTTCAAAGCTCGTAATATCTAGGCTTCAGGATTTTTAATCTTTCTCGAAGAGAAAACATCGCGAGAACGGAGATATTGGGAGAGAAGGAAGAAAATGGAAATCGTCAATTACGATGCATTAGATTATACCCCGATGTGTCATCGCGATGACAAATGACGAGCCTGTCATAATCTGTTTTATGGCGGATATTTTAATTATTCGCAAAGGGACGTCGAACTCTAATTATAAGTTAAAGGAATTACCCTTTAAAGTCTTAATAAAATTTTTTTTAAATTATTAACTACTTAAAAAAAATTATTAAACAAGTTTAAAATTTTGTACACACTAAGGTTTGATTATATATGATTTTAAGTATTTTTATTTCGTGTTATTCGCGACCTATAATTTAATTATAAATAGTGACTCACTGTTCTTTTATTCTATTGTTATCTTATATTGTTATTATATTACACCGTTATTTTAATAAATGCGATAATTAAACATACAAATGAAAAATTAAAATTTAATCGCGTGACCTCCTACCTACGTATGCATGCAAATTCAAAGCGAGCAAATGACAAATTCCGTATACGCTAATTGGTTCATATAAAAAGATATGAAATGAAAAGAAACATAAATCACAAACGCGAAATTCGTGTTAGTAGGTCAATTTGGCAGAGAAATTATGACGGCAATTTGAAAATATATTGCAATACGAAATGATTCGAGAAACAATTAACAACTAAAGGTATATCGATTGGAAAAAGCTGCAACCTCTATAAATCACGATAGATTTACATCGTTAGACTTTTCGTATATCATTAATTTAACCCATTAATTTAACACCCAGTTGATTTAATGATGAATGTCTAAGGATACATTTACTAAACATCACGATACAAATATATGGATTGTCAGACTTCTTTCTGGAAACGATAATAGAGCAATACTAAGCGATACATTTAATATCCGACAAAGAACGAACGGACAGGAAAATAAAGGTTGCATCGCAATGCGCTGTGAAATTTTCCTTTAGAGTGTCTTAGCGAAAAATATTTCGCATTTGCATCCGTATGGTATGCGCACTATCGAAATTCAATGGTTCGAGGACGTTTGAACGCAGGGAAAACAGATAAACTAGCCAGACAGACGCGGAAGCATGAGGTCAATGTCCTCGAAAAGGCGCGTATCGCAGGGTCGTATCGGAGGATTCGCGACTTTACATCTCGTTGGAGAGGAAACTCAAATACATAGAAACTCAAAAGATCAGACCACGTGTCGTCGTTTCACACAAAAACCCTTCTTTCGTCAAACGGCAAAAGCATCGCCGTAGTTTACACGAGAAATTCAAAAACTCACGAGTCTAGACGCACAAATTTACGTGAAACAAATTACAAACAAATTCTTTGTGCGACGATAATTATATTTACGGATATGCAAGTAAATCGCTGGCAGAAGCATGTTTCTCGCGTTTTATATCAAGAATTCACAAAGAGATCATTTTCACAAAGTTCGTTCTCGTATATACGCGCAAGAGAAAAAACAAATCCGCATTTGCAAAGCATTTATAGTTTCGCGCAAAACTTTTATCCATTGTTCGTACTCTCTCATCACCAGAGAACACTTCAATAAAAATGCGAAAAATAAAGAAAGAAAAAAAAATTGCCACGGGCAAATACTCCAGATTATCTCGGCGAATATCCTCGCGAGTGTATATGACTCGGATACTCGTTCCGGCGAGCCGCATTACGCACAAATCCTCTTCACCTCGCGGCGCACGTCGCCCGCATTTTCGCAATAGAGCTCCTTCAGGTCCGCCGAGGAACTCACCGGCGTCAGTTTCCGCAGCCTAGCCGCAGGTTCGCCGAGAGGAGCGTCCTCGGGGGGTTCGAGGTCGTCGACCCGGCTAAAAATTACGACGCGACTCACCCTTCCTCGCGGGTTCCTTCGCGTCCCGGGGTACAGAAGGCGAAGGAAGAAAAAGGTGTCAACGTGCCGGCGACGCGCAGGCACGCACGCACGTACACAGATACGCACATACCCACATTGCATGCACTTTTTTTATCCCGTAAATATATACAATACGATTCAAATCGGTCGTCCTTGCCTCGCGAAAACGTTCGTGCGAGACAGGCCGAGACTATTCAAACGGATCGAGAGTGCGATGTCTCTCGAGGGGGCGCCAGTCAGAAAGAAGCGGTGGCGAACATGGGTTTAACTGCGTGGGGTGGTCTTTTGGGGTGCCGGTCCCGTCGTTGACTGCGCCATCGGGCAGACTCCATCGCGCTACCCGACATCAGCGGCGGCGTCGGCGTCGGCGGCGGCAGCGGCGGCGACGACGACGGCGACGCCGCCGCCGCCGCTGCCGGCGAGAGCGTAGGCTATCGATTTTTCCGCGCAGCCTCCGCGACCGGAACATGGTGCACATCTCTGCTCTAGCTAGTCCTGTCGACGGCTTGGCTGTCCTGCGCGGTTTTGTCTCCTTCACCGCAAACGTTTGGTTGCATTGATTCTTGGCTATTTTTTTCGAGATATCTTTGATGAGTCTCTCGAGATAATTATATGAGAATAAAGTTAGCTGAGAGATACAAGAGATTGTGTAGAGATTGCATTTGATCGTGGTTTGAAGATGTATTTTTTAACCCTCCATAGTTCTTCAGAAGTATAGAAATGTGCTTCTTTTGGAGAAGCCAAATTAATAACATTGATTATTTAAATGTTATATAATAGATGATGTAAAAATCAGGCTGCATCAGTTAAAATATACGGTTTTGGTTAATTAAGCTTGGAAAATGCAAGTTTGCAATGCATATTGACCCGAGCCGCACCTAATCTTTATTGGTTTTTAATCTGAGCAGTTTGGATTTTCTTGATTCTTGTTTCATTCGCTTCTATATTCGTTGTTGCGTTTTTTTTCTCGGTTTATCTCCTTAGACGAGTCATTAATTTTTTTATTGTTGACGGATGTGATGATATTCATTAAATTCATCCTTAACAATCCTCTTCAATAATCTACTCATGTCTTGCAAATTAAAATTTTCCAATAATTATAGTATAATATAATTTCTGATGTAAACGTATATGTGTGATATATGATAATGATTATACGATACATATGTACCGTAATTAATATTAACTTAATATATTTGATAATATACAGAGAAGGTGTATAGTGTATCAAGTGTAAGTCGCTTTTCGCGATTACGAACTCGCTCGTTAACTTTGTGTCAGTTTCTCATATATACATGAGTTTAATAACATTATTATTATACAACTATTGGCGATGATGCCATACACCTTCAGACATTTAATTAAATCAATCATAACGCCATTTAACGTAATTATATTTTTCTTCAAATTAATAATGTAATTATTTTATAAAACTTGATGCAAACAACGCAATTAGTTACTTGCTTGCCGTATTGCTTTTTGTAATAAATTAATTTCTTCTTAATTTCCCGATAAGAACAAATTTAATTATTGTGGCTCGCACAATTAATAATTACTCGTAAAATATTTCTTTAGAAATATCATACAGGAATTTAATCAATTTATCGCGGAAGCAAAATGTGTTAGCGTGACGCATCTGATATCGACTTTTCGAATTCTTGGCACGCGCGTAAAGTTATTATAATATGACGAAGAATGTGAAAGAGAAAGACATATATATTTATATTTCGTTACATATAAATAAAGAGAGCATAACATGCTGTAAGAGATATGTCAGATATATTTTACATAAATATACATATTTTTAATCGAAAAAAGATATGCGCATAGCGGAAAACTCGCAAAACTTAAAAGTTACGATAGATTAAACCTGCTTACTAAAAAGCAACGCGCGAACGATCGATCATTTCAATGCGGTCTCCTCTGATGGGAAAACTGAGATTAAATATCCATTGTGCGGCCACTATGTGTCTGGATAACATTCACGGTGCCACTGGACAGTCCGGATAGTTTGGAACGATTCTAATTACAAACATAGTCGGCCGCAAGAGAAGGCAATAAAGCCCCGAGGGTGGATCAAAACTTTGCCGATTATCGAATCTGCTTACTCAACGTATCGAGTAGGAAAATTCAGACATTGCCATACCACTAGAGACGCCATATGTTTGTTTTAATTACGGCAGTATATATGGAAGATAAGTGACGTAGAAGATGCAGTAATATACATTACATGTCTAATGATATCATACGGATCTCAATTAATCATCTCCATTTACAACATGTTTACTTCATTATTTGTCTTCCCATTATCAATGAAAATTTACCGTTGCAATAAAGTCTAGCATGTTCGTTAAACCAGGCTTTCTCAAAAGATATAAAATAGTTTTGCAATTAATATTATTATAATTATTATTATTGTAAACATAATTCTATGATATGAGATCGCACAGAGAGAATTTTCTCTTAAAATTTACCCTAAAAAAATCATGGTAATCGTGGGACAATATGGTAATGGAAAAATTTTATAAGAGTTTTTCTGATTAATATTTACCACAATAAAAATATTAATATCTACCACAATACGATAAAATATACTTGATTAATTTTACTATGTACATATATTAATATTTTTTATTGTGGTAAATATTAATCAGAGAAACTCTTATAAAATTCTTCCAACGCTATATTATCCCACAATTACCATGATTTTCAGGGTAAATTCTAAGAGAAAATTCTCTCCGTGCGGAAGATCTTATTTCCAGAATTGCATTTTAAAAATACTCGAAATACTTCCGTCTGCCGTTGCTATATTTGCGTTAGAATCAAATAAATGAATCAAGTTAAAATTTATTTAACCAAAGGGAGAAAGGAGTAAAATAGAATGGGATTTAAATCAAGATGAGCGAGGGCAATGGCAAGGACAAAACTGGGCGAAGGCGAAAGGCGCGAATAAACGACAAGTATTTTTTTGCTGTCATTCGCGGCTGATCACGAAGGGATGAGTCTACTTACAATCAGTAGTGGTACTCGATCTGCGGTCGGACAATAAGGGAAGTTAGCTTACGCCAGCGCTTTGTCTACGGCCGATGAGTGATCTTCGAAATTGAGATGAAAAAGATGCCGGGCGGACCCCAAGAAGCATGAAATGACAATAAGAGTGACAAAGGATCTCATTAACGCCGCTTGGAAATATCTCAAATTTGATCTCGATATGGATATATCACAGTCACATTCAGAAACGATTCGGTATGGAAAGTAGGGCAACACGATAAATTCGTCACGTTATATATGTATAACGAAATGTACAACTATACGTTATTTTATATCGTACCGTTTCCGTTTATTTAATTTTCATCGCGAATCGTTGGTAACCAATGTCATTAACGAACAGCTGACTGGATCGGTCGAAAGTAATTATGTTGTGTCTTTAACAACAACTTTGTACAGATAGATAGATTGAAAAAGGCGAATATTAACTCTACTTATATCAATATTGGAAAAATACTTCAGAGTGAATTTTCTAATTGTTGAAAAAGTATAAAGGACATTTAATAAAAGATTAATACGAAATGTCAATGTTCTGTAATAAGATGGAACGCGATTGATGATGATATTTCTTTAAACGAGAATCATTTATAGAAAGGAGAAAAAACGAGATCGCGCTTATTTGTATATATTCGAAAGGGAGAATAGACAGTAACCCTGTAAACCACACCTTTTTAAGACGTGAATGATGACAAGATATATCTTCGATCGTACACAGGGGAGGATTCGAGTGAGCGCGTTTCAAGTATCACACATGGAAGGTGGTCCTCCCGACTGAAATGATAAAAGAGACATTCTCCGCGGGATACTGGAGAAATGGAGGATAAATTCAGAAAGCTGTAAATCTCGTGAAAATCTCTCGTTGAGGCAATGCGACCAAAAAATATCACAAAGCGGGTCATCAACGTAAGATACAGGATGTCGTCGAAATAATGTGTACATGTAAAAGTATGTCTTCTTCCGCGATTATATCGCCAAAAACAGGGTAGGAGAAAAAAAAAGAATGAATTGACTCGAATTCAGCACTAACAATAAGCGACATATTATTCTTTCTCCTACGCTCTCTTTTCTTTCTTCCGTATCAGGGTGTAATTTAATTAATACACGTTTTTTCTGACGTAGATCAAGCGAAACAGACGGTTGCCAAAAGAAGTAAGATAAAAAATAAACAGCAGGCTGAAGTATGTCAAAGTGCAACGGACTGTATACCAGAAAATGACGGAAAATGAATTGATATTCCCTCGCGATTTCTGCCTGTATTCTATCATCTTTTGACATAATTCGCATGAATTAAATAGTGCAATGTCTTTAAATAAATGTGCACAATTGTATGCAATCACACGACGCTACGTGAATTGATTATCATTATTAATGAGCTTTTGAAACAATTTTATTTATAATATTAGTCAGTTTAAAATCAAATTTTACTCGTTTTTATAATCACAACTGATTGTTCAGTGGTAAACTCTTTTTCTGCAATCGTTATGATGCCGGCGGAGCATTTATTATGCAAACGAACGGACGTGCATGTCGCCAATTTGGAGTTCGGAGCTTCCTTAATTCCCGCAACAAACTCACATCGTACTCGTAATGTTGCGCATGTCGCAGAAGGATTTTCGCGAGTGCATCCCGGCGCGGCCGAGTTTATGGAGATTAACCGACGAGAATTGCGCTTCGTGACTCTTGTCGACTACCCATCATGCGAAATCCGACGTCTTAATCTACCTCGTTGCATCGTGCAAAAAATACTAAAGTTTGTCATATTGTGCCGTTGCATCGAACATTTAGATAATCAATCATAGATAATCACATTAGTTAACGTTATAACTTATCCAGAATTTAAGATATTCAAATAATAGGATTGAAACAATTTTTTTTAATTTTGCTTTCCTGTAAATTCTTCGATAAGTTTTAGTATTTTTCTAATTATACTCGTCAAATCTTTAAAAGACTCGCATTTATTTAAGAATATGTATTTGCAATTAACTCGAATCTTTTCTATATTTAAATTAAATCTAGCACAAAAACTGCCAGATTATATTATTGCGAACATCAAAGAAAAATTTTATTAGTTTTGATATCAAGATTTCTAATTACAGACGTGCTTTAATACAGCTCGTGGTTAATTTCCACGAAAACTTGACTCGACATGCTCTTCCCTCTCAACGTTGGACACGAAGAAACCGGAGTTTCCGAAGTAAATGAAAATGAAGAGTAATTAACTTGGAAAGGAGCGAGTTTCGGATATCAAAATATGGCGGATC